CTCAAGTAGATTTATTTCATCGTAATATCATCAGAAAACCAAACACACGGTTCAACCGGAACATTCTTGGACACGTACACGGTCACACGTTTTCGAATTTCTTCGTAATAATATCAGAAAACCGAAACCGAAACCGAAAAGTTTGTCCTTTTCATAAACAAGGAAACATCTCAAAGCCTTCCTTTTTTTGTTTTTGGCATCGTTGTAAATTCTTACTCACCCTATTATAAAACGCGGCCAAATCTTTCTCGATTCGCCAGCTTGAGATCGATTTTTGATTTTGTGTCCCCATTAACATTTCTGCACGACCAGTAAGTTTCTATCCTTTCTCTCTCTGTTCTTATGGTACATTCATTATCTCCACACTCTGATTTGATCCCTAATTCTGGATTTTTATAAGATCTGGGAATCAAAATCAAAACTGATCGCCACAAGAAGAAATCATAAATTGATTGTGTCTCCACGCGTGTTCTTATAATCGCTATCAAAATTGATAAATTGTGTGTTTTTTTGGTAAGAGAAGAAGGTATGGTGAAGGAGAATGAGTATTACGAGATCTTAGGCGTCAAAACTGATGCTTCAGAAGCTGAGATTAAAAAGGCTTACTACTTAAAAGTAACTCATTTTCTTTTTTTCTTTTGTACACTTTGTGATCACTTTTGGGGTTTGATTGTGAATTTCCTGGTTTTTTTTTTATTTTTTTCAGGCAAGGAAAGTTCATCCAGACAAGAACCCTGGAGACCCTCAAGCTGCTAAAAACTTTCAGGTGAATCAAGAGATGATGATGATAAAGTGTTTTCTTCTCTTGTTATTGATCGTGTCTCTCACTCACATTTGTTTTATTTTCATGAATGAAAAGGTATTAGGTGAGGCTTATCAGGTTCTGAGCAATCCGGAGAAACGAGCAGCTTATGACAAATATGGCAAAGAAGGTGTTCAACAGTAAGTTTTTGGTCTCTTTTACAAACCTTAGAGTCTACATTTTTCGATTGCGAATGTTGTGATTGAAGCTCGTTTAATTTTTACTGGCAGGGATGCAATGGTTGATCCTGCATCTGTATTTGGTATGCTTTTCGGAAGCGAAGTCTTTGAAGAATACGTTGGGCAGCTTGCACTTGCTTATTTGGCATCCATTGAAGCTGATTTAGAATCATATGAGCCTGATATCAGAAAGCAAATGCTTCAAGACAAGATCAAAGTAGGCCTCCATGTTTAGTTATTTTCTTTTTTATTTAACGCCTCCATGTTTAGATATTTTCTCCATGTGTGTATGTGGGAACTGTGTGCAGGCTCTGCAAAAGGAGAGGGAAGACAAGCTTGCGGCAACATTGAAAAACAAACTTGAACCGTTTGTGGAAGGACGGACCGATGAATTTATCGAATGGGCAAATGAAGAGGCAAAGCGTCTTTCTGCTGCCGGTAAACAACTTTTGCATTTTCTTCAAGAACCTATAAAGAAAAATTCTTTTGGCAAATATTATTAGAAAGGGAAAATATTAGAAGAACCTATAAAGAACCTAAACACACAAGATAGGTGCAAATTTATTAGAAAGGGAAATATTAACAGAACTTTTGTTTTGACTGTTTAAGGTTTCGGCGAGGCAATGATGCATACGATTGGTTACATTTACACAAGAAAAGCTGCTAAAGAGATTGGGAAAGACAAGCGATATATGAAAGTGCCGTTCTTAGCGGAATGGGTGCGTGACAAAGGCCACCATATGAAATCTCAAGTGATGGCTGCTTCTGGTAAGAAAAACAAGAAGCAATAAATCAAAATCTTTTTGGCTGTCTAACCAAACAAAATCCTTACTGTGGATGATTTTTGTTTGGTTTGTAGGTGCGGTTTCGTTACTTCAGTTGCAGGATGAAGTGAACAAGTTGAACGAACACCAAGGAGAGAACAGAGAGGAGCACATTCAAAAAGCCATCGAAGCTAAAATGGATGCTTTGCTTCAATCTCTTTGGCAAATTAATGTTCTCGACATCGAATCCACTCTATCTCATGTCTGCCAATCTGTAAGATACCTAAGATTCATCTTCACATTATACAACCGTTTACGTAGGAGTTAATTAATTAGTCTTGTTGTTAATCTTGCCTCTCTCACAGGTGCTTAAAGATCCAAGTGTTTCGAAGGATGTTCTTCGAGCTCGAGCCATAGGACTGAGGAAACTTGGAACGATCTTCCAGGTGAGCAAGAACAAAAGGGTTCGTAACTTTAAACATAACAGCAAACTCATTGGGTTTTTTGAAAGCCAAAAATAATTTTATTTATTTATTATTAAATGTAATTTTAGACTCATGAATACTATCTTATTATTTCTCTTTCGCTAAAATCTTGTTTAAGGGTGCTAAGAAGCCGTACACTAGAGGAAGCAGCTTGCGTCACGAATCTAACGTGAAACTTGACACCGGAGGTTCTTCAAAGGCGACGGCTTGAAGCTCTGATTGCCATCATTCATTCATACGCAGCAGAAAACAGAGAAGCCGGATTTGAATTTGCTGTTTCATTTCATCTTCTTCTTTTTTTTTCCCCTATTGGTTGAAGTTGGATTTGTACTTTGTTTTTACTTTTGTAGAGATTGTTTTCTAAAGATAAAATTTTGTTTATGTGTAGATAATACATTGTTATTCATAATTATATCAAGTGACATTCCAATTATACTAATACTAGAGAGAGTTCACGACATGTAGAGCTTATCGACATCATCAGCCGCAGAGAAGTTACAATGCTCTGTTTTTGATTTTTTTAGGAAATRTATGAGCTTAAAAACATGATTGTATAAAGCCATTCTTGTATGGTTTTTTGTAAAGAGTGTTTTTATTTTTAATAGTAACTAGATAATTAACCCGCACCGTGTGCGGGTATGAAACGTTTTAGAGAAATAGATAAATTTTGGAATCTAAATAACACGATTTATTGTTTATAAAAATAAACATGAATGATTGTTTTTTTAAACATTACATGCATATTTTAAACTTTATTCGTTTGT